GCGGCGACATTGGTGGCGGCGCGGCAGCGATCCACCCATCGGTTCTAGTTCATCTGTTCTTCCACCCATGCATCCATCCATCGATCGTGCAGATCGCCCGTCGTTCGATGTTGCTTCGTCACTTTTCGCCGCCGCCGCTGTTGCCGCATCTTTCGCCGCTTCAGCCTCCTCCTCAGTCACCATACTCAAAGGAACATGTCGGAAGCATTTGCATTACATTAAGGGCGTTACACGTTTGCGATGGCTGTTTCATTAGGTTGTCGATCTCTCGACACGGTGCCAGCCTGACTGACTGCAGGTCGACACCCTGGTGCGCACCGTCAGCTTTGCGTCGTCGTCGCCGCGTGTTCGAATTTGCTAACTCTGTTTGTTGCATCGCTTGTCTGTTCGCGGCTACAACACCCTTCAGTCTTTTACTCGTGGCATCCAGTCTATAGAGTAGAAGGGATGTCGTCCAAGCGTTTCGAATAGAAGCCGTTTTCAAGAAAATCGTGGAAGCGTCATCATCATATCGACGACGCCGCTTTTGCCTCCGCTGTTGCCACCACGTCGCTGAAAAACGACCGTGCGACGATTTTCGTCGCGTATCCGTATCGTCGCTTGTTTCTTATTTTATTCACTTGTGTTAACTTTTTACAGAACACAAGAACACAGAACTTGCGTAGGTTTTCTGTCGCACTTTGGCCACAAGTTGTTTCTTTCGAAACTTCTCTCGACCCTAAGTAATTATTTTAATTAAGCCTTCCGTAGGCTCTCGCGGGACGAGGTCTGAGCCGGTCAGCATGCTCTGCCCTTTGCGCCACTCTTTTCACTCCTTTCAGTCGTTACCGTAACAGCACGAGTCTCCTAGCGTTTTGTTTGCAACACTTGCCGAGAGGAGCAAGATTGTCAGTTCTGAGGCATCAGGACGAAGGAGAGGACGTCATGCTTTGTGACACGACCAAAGCAGGTCTTTATAGCAGTGTTTCGTGACGACTCGAATACGAAGGATCAGTTGTCATTCTTGGTTTCGCTTTTTACGTGGCATACAATACCGTTCAATACTGTTCATATATGCTTACTGTATTATTGGCAGTAATAATGCGACAAATGTCTGAAAGTTAAGCAGTTTCGTTATGTAGCGAGAAACTTAACGTTTTACGTTTTGCCAGCTATATGCTCTATACATACTCGTCGATGGACGACAGTGTATTGCAGGAAATGTATAAACCATGCTGAAAAAAAATCAGGGGTAAGAAACAATCTGAAAAAAACCAAGGTCATGACAACTGAACAAAGAAAGAATCCAGAAAACAGCGTCAAAGGAGATGGAAATTATGCAAGTGCCGGCATTGGTGTATTTCAGTGGATTAACATGGCAGAATGAAGAATGCACCGGTGTTATTGAAGGACAAAACAAATTTGATCATGTAGTAATGTCACAGTTGCACAAGATTTGGAAATTGAAGAACGTACACAATGAATATTGCCACTATAAGTAACCCTTGTTCTCTCAGTGATTACATGCGGCTCTGATACATGGACTTCACAGCAGGGTGTATGTCATCGGTAGTAAGGATGACTAACGTAACGAATCATGGAGTGGACAGAATTCTGCTGACTCCATGAAACAAAGTATAAAGGGAACTTGGTAATCGTTGGGGGATGTCGGTTCACTTTGCAGTTTCGTGGTGGGCACAATTTATGGCTCTCTTCTTTCTATGAATCTCATGGCGCGACACCGTTCTCCGTTTCTTTGCCATCAGCCAGGAATGTCTTACCTTGAGAGCAACATCTACAGCTATGCGCGAAGTATGGCGTGTAGCTTACTATTTCTCTATCAGAGAAAGGTTCAGTATGCAGTAACTTACATGGAAGATAAATATAAGGCTAAATGGTTTGAACTGACGAGGAAAATGACATCTAGCGAATTTGCAACAAGAGTTCTAATATGGATATTGAAAGATGCGGTGTAAAACTACTCTCGAGTAAATGATGGGTTGACGCTGTGGCTATGGCTTGAGGTGATCACTTCAGCCTTTTGCATAAGTAGAATGTCTCTGGTTTGTGATGTTCCCTGTACTCGCTGCATTTTAATATTTTTGCCTTAAGGCAGCGGTTACTGCATCGTAGAAGGAAATATTCCTCGTACGGACCGTATGGTGGAGACATGTAAGAAGTGAGTGAAGGAGTAGTAGCAATAGAAAAAACTTGTCTACGACTTTCAACGGTGGAAGAGTACTTGTAGTGCACTGACTCATCAGAGTGTGGGCAGAAAGGGGTGATAGTGATACTATGCGGTGCTTGACAGAAACTCCGTTGTCTGACAAATATCGTTTTCTACTCAGAGGGATGTCGCCATAAACTTACAACTGTAGACAGCGTTTCACTCTGTTATTCCCAGGTTTTGATCATCTAAGCACCCACATTACTTTTTGCTCCATTTTTTTCATGTCAGGCAAATGTTAAAGAAGTACGTTATTTTCTTACAAAGCAATTTTTCTCCGTTGTATAGGTAGTAAATCTACGTCCGTTTCATATTGTTGCACTTCTGCCTGTTGCAACACCGAAAGATGGTTCTGAAAATAACCAGCACCTTTCTAAAATATTTCCAGAAAATATCTGTTATAAGCATCCACTCAGCTACCTCCTTCGTCCTTCTTGCACCTTTAACTTTCCAGCCATCTTAGGACTTAAGAAACAGATTTTCTGTCGTATTCTTTCCGTCAGTACTATGCTAATGCAGGTTTAGAGTAGCCTTTGAAAAAGGCATGTTTAACAATTCATTGTCAAACGAGCAGGTATTTACATTATCATAAAGGCAATATTCTAGACATTTCTTTTTGAGACCGCCATGTTACACCGTAAGTACCCCCCCTGACGAAGTACAGTAAAAGTCCGCACTAGTCTTTCGGCGAGGGATTTGATTCGATTCTGCCGTAGTTGACCACCGTATCATATCTTCATTTTATAAACGCCGATTGGCCCAAGCTTTTAGATTGAGAACATGGCATCTTCTTCTGTGATCGCTTCTCCATTCAGATCGCTTAGGTAGACGTTTCAGACAGTGCTTCAAACCTTCCCGATTCTCTTCCAGAATCTGAGGTTCGGCAAAAGACATCCTTAGTCTAGAGCAGACTCATTCAATACAGTTGCATCAGGTTAATCTTGCCCGTCCTATGGGCCTACTACCGGTCGGTTTCGCAAGAAATAGTTGTTTAGCCTTCTTTTCTCAAGGCATTCGTAACACATGTCCAAACCATCGCAGCCGTAACTTCTCTATCTCGAGAAGCCGAGAGTCTACACCAAGGCTCTCCCGGATGTCAGTGTTCCGGGCCCCGGGCCATATCGAGACGCATAAGGCCAGCGACTCGTCTCAGAAAGTCCATGTCTGCAGCCTGTTCCCGGGTTCGAAGCTTTTCATCATGGTCCATGACTCAGTCATGATCTTAGGTAAGCATGGGGATGTAGATCGACTTGAGCACCGAAAGCTTAGTTTTCAGACTCAGCTGTGCTTTAGTCACAGCGGTTCGGGCGAGTTCATGCCTAATGCCACTGGCCACTCCAGTCCGCTGGTCGTTCTCCAGATTTACGGTCACCAGCATACACGACCCCGAGGTACTTGAACGGGGGAAAGAAACAGACGAATGCAAACAGTGCTTGTCACATGGTTCGATTTTGTCGATTCTGCCTTCAGAAATAAAACGTTTCTGGTTATTGATATGGAAATGGAGATCAGCGCCCCCACCATTAACTTAATGAAAAAGGGTGCAGGAATTGGACCCATAATATAAGTGTAAGGAACATCGACGTCCCAACGGTTACGAACTTTCCTGTTTCCTTTTCGAGCCTAAGCTTAGTCAGAAGCGGTCTAGAGGAAGCAGCGTCGGCAGCAGCAAAAATCTGCTTCTGACTGCAAACTAGCATACATCTTTGGCGCTCAGTTACATGGCTCAAATAAATAGAGGTGTTCCGATATTTATCTTGCAGATATGCACATCGAAATCGGTGTTAAATTTTGTGTTTATACTGAATAACAAGCTATCAGGTGGGTCAGGGCGATTTGCAGCCACAAGGGGTTCTCGCACTGAACAGTATAGCTGAACATCTCGTCCATTTTGGCATAACCAAATCAAAAAAACACGCTGTGGTACGTCGCCGACTTACTGTCCGTTTTTAGGGTTGGTTGCGCCGAAACAGTATGGGGTTAATTCTTTTCTCAGTGGAGTTCGCAGTTAAAGCAAAGGTGGTCCATTGAGCGGGTTCAAACCCGTCATCTCTGAAGCGCTGCGCGACCATGCCACCACTTTGCAGTTTATTAAAGAATTTGTCATTAATTTATGGATTCAGTGAGGTGGTTATTTTCCAAATCTTCTTTTCGAGGAAGATTCATTCCTTTACAGGTTCTATGCCAGCTACCCATATTTTTAATGTGAAGCACATCCCGCAAGAAATGATTTGGCACTTTGGAAATCGATGGCTTTGTTACGAGCAAAATTTAAAAGTATTCCCGTATTTTATTAAGTCTAATACACTGCGTATGATCTCTCGCTTACTTTCTTTAAATATCACTGCAGATTTTCTAACTGAATGATTATGTTATTTACAATCAGCCATGAATTCACGTGTGCTTCACTGCATTGATAAGGCAAGGAATTGAAGAAGAATTTATCTACAAGAAGTATAATCAAGTCGCTGCAGCCATTTTCAAGATCAGTTGGTGATGAAGGTTTCTAACAAAGGTCGCCAATAAAATACCATATCGCCCAAGGTTTTTTTACCGAACATCTTGAGTCAGCGTTTCGCAAAAGAAAGTGGAATGTAGGATTTTCAGTCATCGGCATACAGATCACCTTTGATCTGCTGACCACATCGTACTGTTGGTGACAAAGGCAT